GTCTACCGATGCAGCGTGCTGTAAACAGAGCTCGACTAACAACGATCGTTTTGCACGCACAACAATAATTTAGTAAGCTCAAGAGTGCAATAATTGTAGTTCCTCTTATATGTTGTAGAGTTCCACTGAACCAGCCGTAACGACAATGATTTATTGATTACCGTATGCCGTTTACAAACACGGCTGAACGGCAGAACGTCACACTAACCATCTCTCACCGCATTCACTGGCACACTGACATTGGCTACTGTCTTCAGTGTCTTGGCCCTTGGGAACGTTGCAACGATTGCAATAACAAGTCGAGCAGAATTCCCGCAATTCTGTCAGCGGGCGTACAATGACAATCATTTGATATTGTAAAAAGAACACGTGTCACATCACAACACTCATTTGAATTGGCATCATGATTCATTTCGTTTTTAATGGCTATCATCTCATCCTGCAATTAGTTGAAATGAAAATTAAATCATTCAGTACAATTCTAATAATCACGCAAATTCTAGCGTTACTCAATGATTTTCATTTGTAGACGCTGTGGCAGCAACGTGACGTTTTTTATAAAACTTTAATAAACTGCTTAATAGATGAGTATGAAAAATTTCTGATGGTTACGCAGTCTACTTGGGGTGTTATCCCCGAAATTAGATTATCTGCATTATTGCGATCATTTCCGACTCAATACGATGCAAATTACTGTCAGTGGAAGCCGACGACATTGGCATTTTTAGTGGCAATACAAGTGTGGTCTGTGGAACGTTTACATAATAATAAAATATAACAATAATATAGCGGTTTCAGCGTTTATTAGGCCGGAGGCCTGTTGCAGATTCTTAACATTGCAGAACATCCACAGCTTGTTGCGGTCTCGAACTCGCAACTCACTGCTACAATATTGCTTTGCTCAACCGCCCGGCCTCCTCGCCGATTCTGACCAGAAACTGGCGCACAGAGCTGGGATCGAACCCGCTCCTCTCTGCTCCAATCCTGGTACTCTGAACTTTAAGCACTGGGCCACCCTGAGTTCAGTTTTTGAACCCCAAACCATGGTAGTTTGCTAACAAAGTAACCGGGATTATTTATCTGAAAATTTACTGAAAACAGATTTTATAGCATTTTCATAATGGTAATTCCCCAGGCATTGAAGCGCCGTAGTTCGGAATGCCAACAAAAAAAAATATCATCGTCAATTTTACGTTTTCTCCTCACTACTACCGGTGAAAATAATGAAATAATAAATATGATGCCAGAATTTTTTCCAAATATTTTCATCTGCATCAAGTGTTCCTAGTAATTGGATAGCCTAATGTCGTGTTAAATCAGAGCCAATAGACTTTACTCACACGGTATACTGACTACACGGAGCGATTTCTATGCGTGACTAAATTGGTATATATAATCCTTCCATCCGATTAAATTAGTTTCTTGACAAAATTGAAAAATTGGAAAGTAAATGAATTAACAGTTTTATTATACAGTAGCGTTTATTGAAAGAGATGACAACACAATATCGAAGTTCTAATCAGATACCCGACCTATAACGGCAAGCTGAAAGTTCGAATAGAGCGCTCGAAAAAGAGCAGGTAATTCATCAAGCAAGACTGGAATAATTTCACGTTTGAGTTTGCCAATTATTAGACTTGTCATCATTACAACAAGCAATTAGGGCCACTAAATGAAAACAATATCAAACACAACCTTCCGCTTATTATGCCAATTAAATGAACCTTCAACGCAAGATGCTCAAAAATCAATCGCAGACATAACTAAGAATTGACTATCAGTGGAATTCAGATCAAACATTAATCTTATCTGTTCATAATGATTTAGATTTACATATTTCAGGATTGGGTAAAAAATAACGGAAGCTAGTAGAAACCAACCACGGAAAATAACTGCAATCGAAAATTACTTAATTTTGGATATCACTTCTAATTCACTTTATGTTAATTTACTTTATGAAGAATATTCACCATACAGAGTACTATTTACACTAACCTCTTCTGGGATACACGATACGTTCCCATACTTAAAACATAGATTCTTTAACGTAAACACTGGTTTCAAGTAATATATAGAAGTAGTCAAGTCAGAAAAATGTAACACTTGCGCACGACATGTCAAGTGTATCGATATTCTTTAACATGTTAACCTTCCCGAGAAACCCTTTGTCTACTGACGGTACTTCCAGTTAGTAGCAGGGGCCGTACAATTAAAAGCTTGCTTAATTAACCCCTACTACCTATTTTATGCAACGAGTTCTATGACATAATGTTCCAAGTAGACAAAATCTAGTAGAGTCATTAATACGGATCAACAATCACTTTTTACTGTGCTTAGACCGATGAGAACTACGGTCTTTCTGTTTAGGCGAATGTCTGTGGCTTTTTTTATGGCCCGATGATTGGTGCTTGTCTTGGTCACCGCTCGACTTCCTGCTTCGATGTTTCGATCTTACAGACGATTCTTTACTGGAACTTGCCTCGGCATCAGGATAGAACGACTGGGCGTATGGATACGGCATCATAGTGCCGGGATATGGCATGCTCGGCCCAGGATAGTGTGTCATTTGCATGTTAGTGAAAGTCCATCGAGGCCCGTTGAATGGTCCTCTGGGCCCGTTGAATGGCCCTCTTGGCCCGTTGAATGGCCCTGGTGGCCCATTGAAGTGCATTGGGGGGCCATTGAATGGCATTCGGGGAACTGAAAAAGGCATACGGGTAAGGTAGTTGTTTGGGCCGCCATGATAACCTCCGTAGGGCGCAGAATAATTAGGTGCATACATATAATCAAAAGAACTACTACCGGGATAGTTCATGCCACCACTGGGGTCAGCTTGTTCATCGTATCCAGGAGGATCAAAAGCTGCCTCACTGCCTGCACACATGTCCGAATACTCGTCGTAACTTCCCTGCCACTCAAAACTGACAGAATTGACTCTTAAACTCATGTGCTCCGTTCGGTTCTTGCTTTTAATGTTATGTTTTGAATTTTCCTTGGCTTCTATTTCTAGAGAACTATTGGGGTCTGGGTCATCCTTGCCACGCGTATCATCTAACACAGGGAAATTGTCTCGAGATTTTGTCTTTTTAGTCAAGGACGTGCTGATATCTACTTGACGTGTAAGGGTATCAGGACAATCTACATTCGGACTACATTTCTCGTAGCTAGGTTTTCCATCGGCTACTTTCTTCTTACTCGCACTAGAATCATCGGTGGCTTGTGCAGAAACTGGCTTAGACACAGAAGCTGGCTTGGAACTTGAAGCTGGTTGAGGCGCACTGACAGGTTTCGAAGAATTTTTTACCGATGTTTGCAACTGAGCTATGTCCGCCATAAGGCTAGGAAGTCTCCCGCAGGAAGGCTTGACAAATGTAGACGGGACGATGGGCAGAATATCTTTAGGTCCAGAAGATATGAAGGAACTTTCTTCATTAAAACTCACATTAGATACCGAATTGGGATCGCCTGATTGTAAAGAAATGTTGTCCGGGTTAATAGACGAGTTCGGTTCGACTTTGAGTTCATCTAAGTTATCTGGCAAGGTCGGGCCAACGACTCCCGTTCTTTCCTGCACGAAGGGAAACTTCACCCAGCTACTCGGAGACCTAGCTTTGTTTACTGGGCCAAATCCATGAGTAGTTTTCTTGGGTGGTTTGTTGCTTCTAGAACAACTCCTTTCTCGAGATCTGCTTCTTGTGCGTGATCTACTCAGTCTTCGGGGAGATCTGCTGTCTCTCAGAAACTTGCTGTATCTGCTTCTCATTGGAGACTTGCTATCACTGCGCGATCGGCTCCTTCTCCCAGGGGATCGGCTTCTTCTATAAGAACAGCTTCTCCTAGGAGATCGGCTTCTTCTAGAACAACTGCTTCTCCTAGGTGATCGGCTTCTTCTATAAGAACAGCTTCTCCTAGGGGATCGGCTTCTACGAGATCTACTTCTCCTAGGGGATTGGCTTCTTCTTCCGGGAGACCGGTTTCTTCTCTGGGACGATCTCCTGCTACGATTTCTATAAGACATAAAGCGCGAACGCTGAGCACTTTCAGCCAGCCCTAGCAGGTGTCCATCTCCTGATGCTTTCATTCGTTCCACAAGCTTAGGAATAACTTTAGGATCCAAGCTATTTAAACCATAGCGCTTCACAAACTCAATAAACTGGTCCGAATTCCGAATGAAAGAGGAGCACTTGAACTTGCGATCAACAAACCTTTTGATGAATTCTGGTCCCATGACCTCAAGCTTTGCTTTGTTCATGCAGTGCCGCTCATTATCGATTCTGATGCGCTCAGCTTTTTCTCTGTCGGCCTTTTCCTTTGCAATTCTGGCCAGTTCTTGGATTTCCTCAAAGTTGTCACTGAGCACAATCTTCTCTCTAAGCTCATTCAGGAGATTTTTGAACTGAAGACCAAGCCTTCGGGTTTTTTTGAGAATCTCTCTGTCTTTTGATGTTTTCCACTTATTTAACAACTCCCTCTGCTCTTGATATAAATCGGTCATTTCTTGTGACCATAGCTCCTTGGGCACAATAATATTGTACTTTTTTTGAACTTTATTACTTTTCTTTTTACCATTATCTATGACAGGCTTGTCTTTATCATCAGGTATGTTATTTGCTATCGAGTTAATTTTTGGTATAGCTCCAGATACAGTAGCATCATTTGCGCTGGCTGAAAGTTTACTATCCAGTTGAGTGCCATCGCCTGATGTGTCAGTCAATTGAGATGCATACCCGGCGGTCATTGGCTGAGCACCGGACACTTCTGCCCGGGCAATAGGATCCATGTGTGATTTCTCCATTCCCGTGTCACTGGTAGCTGCAAGTAATGTATCGGTTCTTCAGTGCTCTAAGGGAGCATGTGTGCAGAATTTCGAAAATCTACAGGAAATGTTGTCTATCACAAGTCATACGGTATGAAAATTTTTCAGTGAGCATGCTAAACCATTGGAATGATATTGAAAATATACACAAGATACAAACACTACGTAAATGTAGGAGTTGTCAGCAAGTTCTTAAGAAAACATAGAGTCGTGCAGAGTTTCCAGCTGGGCCTTGCGTTCTGCTTCGTTTTTCTGAAGAATAAATTAGAATTATTAGTATTTATCAACAGTTAAGGAAAAAAGTGCATGAGGTAACTTGGCTTAAACTGTTGAGCCTATTTTATACTAAAATTGATGAACGATAATGTTAATAAATGATCTACTTTTTCAAATATTGTTTCACAAGAATAAAATAGCAAGGAATCACAAGATAGTGAATTATTGAATGATTACATAATCAAACCATGATAAAAGGCTCATACCTTCCTCAGTTTATATTCCTCATAGGCTTCATCATCAGTCTTGAGCTCGTGACGGCACATGGGACAAGAGTTGGTCTGAAAAGAAGTAATTTACAATGTAGAAATGTTCCAATGTTAACAAACTCCTAATAAATTGTTTACAGCAGTAGGCCTATAAAATGAATCGATTATATGTGTTGAAAAATAAATTGATCATTACCAATGTTATATAATAAGAGAATGGACTAACGGTTTTTTTTACATGTATTTTTGGTAGGTATATTATTTCATTATCCCTCCTACAACTCTTAGTAGACAATATCAATCATGAACTAGCTTACCTACACCAATAGTTTGGGAATTCTGTCTTAATATAATACGGAAAATTTATCTGCAGCATCAAACTTCAAAATTTGGTAAGTCAACCTAATAAAAAGACTTGTTATTAATAAAAGTTATCTGTACAAGAATGCAACTATGATGAGGCATTTAATATACAGCTATTCCTTGCAACTTTTTTGTTTAAATTTCCATCAAAAACTCAAAAATCAAAAAATTTAGGAGAAAAAGTATGCTGTATCCAAGCAGACATAGATGCAGACCTAGAGATCTAGAATACCAATTCAGTTTAGCACAGTTGTCTCTGATTGGCATGGAAAGTGTTGACAATTAATTGTTGAGAAAGTTATTTTGTTACACATTCATAGTGCAAGCTATAGCTATATGTTTGTTGCCCACAATTATCTTATCAAAGGCATGTCCCATTCCAAGAAACATTTAGCATGACCCACCCATATTGCTCCCACGTTGGAATTCTAAGCAAATTTCAATTTTTTATCCTTGAATGAAATTTAACACATCTAATTACAAACCAAATTTTAATTCATAATCTACCCTTCAACTATTGAAAGGCTTCTTGATTCAACCAGAAGTAAAATAAAATCAGAGACAGGGAATACCGTATTATGGATGTAGGCCCTAACTGCACCTATGTCCCACCAGGGAAAACAAAACCACAAACAAACGAAAAATGTTGACAAATATATAAGTAACATTACAGATGTTAAACATTAAGACAAAATGTAGATATAGTGTTTTAAATATGAGGATGCCACTATTTGAGATTTTTCATTCAACAGGGTTGCTTCTGGTATCTCTTGATAATGATAAATGAGGGACAAAGGTAGGTACTAGGAAATACTCTCCAAATAGAAGTTAACATTGAATTAAGTGTTTTAAAAGAAAAGATAAGTATAATGAAACCAAAAATGTAAGGAGAATATGTCAATAAATAATTAAAATGTATCAAATTATCAGAGAAAATTGATTCTGCAACATTCTAGGTAATAAAATTACAATGATCAGAAATAACTAGATCTTCTCCATTAGGAATTGCAGAAATTTCTTCAAACAAACCTTGTTGAGCCACGGTAACACACAGGTGATGTGGAAGAGATGCTTGCATGGCAGTTGATGACACTTTTCACTCAATTCATACTGCTTTAGACACACAGGACACTGCTGACTTGTTCCTGCAAAATTTTGTGGGTCAGAAAAACACATTTTGATGGGCTCAAGAGTAACAGTTTGGAGAAGCTGGAATGATTCAGTAACTAAGACGTATAAAATGCTTACAATTTACAAGTGTAAAGTTGTTAAAATAAAACAATGTTTATCAAATAAATAGAAAACTAATTTTCAGCTGTAAAAAGATTTCTTCTCAATTAAAAAAATTTAGAAGCCCTTCAGGTTTTCATGCTAGCTAGCCACTGGTCACAATTTATATCATTTTGTCCACCATTTGCATATATTGTCAGCAGCACAAGTTACCTGCTTCATCTATAGTGATAGTTTCCAAATCTGCTATAACAGCTCTTGAAGTGGGAGGTGGGGGTTTGTGGCCAAAAAGATCATTGTACTGAAGTCCAACTTGCTGCATGGTGAAAAAATAAACAAAAAGTATATGAAAATGTAAAATTAATTAATAGAAGCAATGGCATTACTCAATTGGTCTCTTGTTACATAATAAATGTGAATAATTGGGTTTCTGTATTTGTCAAATGAAATAAAAAATTTTCTCTATCAAGTTGTTCAAAATTTCTAGCACTTCATCATATAGTTTGTAATTAAATGCTAAGTTAGTATTACTATTAGTCAAGTGACATCAGAGCATTTAATATACTATACAAAGCCAAACATATTCAACTTTCTATTTAAGAATTTTTCAGAGCAATGTGATTTTTGTAAGTTCAGTAAACTTCACCTAGGTACATTCTTTGCTCATTATTATTCTATGATGTTTCTCAAGATTAGAATGGCTTAGTAGGAATAAATTAATTTTAATAATAATTTCTGTTACATTTGAGTGGAATGTACAGCATCAGAGCAGAAGCTGAATATTACTGTCTTAGTAAAAAGTATATATATAGCATATGTACTTAGAGCAAAGTGTAGATATTAGAATAGCTTGGGTATTCTAAGGGGAATGTCTACCTAAAAATGATATCCTAAACTAAATGACCAATATTTATGAAACTTTGTATCAATAGGTAAATTACAAAAAGAAAAACATTTTGATGATTTGAATTTTATGAAAGAAATGAGAGAAAATGTTGAATGCATAGGAAACGGCAAAAATGGGGGGTTCATTATAAATCATCTTCGATTTACATGCCACAACATTGAGAGACATATCATTCAATTTGTAAAGAGAATATTTATCTACTCTAGAAGCAATTTATTTTTATTTTTAATTAAATTGTTTTTTATACAACTTTTTCCATTCTCCATTTTTCCCTCTCCCCCTAGTTTTTTCAATACTTAATACAAACCATGTCCAAATCAGAAAAGAGGGCTTCTAGAGTCTTGAAAAATCAAACAATAAGTTTCTTGATGCTGTAGTTTGAAAATCATAGGAGGATATAGATTTCCAAGATGATGTATTTTGGAAATTTTAATTGCTCAGGAGCCAAATAAGTAAAATTAATTGAAAAAAAAAAGAAGGAAATGCTAAAAGATTGCTTGATACTGAAGCACCAGCTTTCCCTTAGCCAATTACTTGTCTAGAGGGTACCATCATGCATCTTTTGACTTATTCTTGTCTAGATTATTGCAAATAATAAGCTATAAATGCAATTCAATAATGGATTAATTTACTTAAAATATTTATTTTACAAAAGTTTAAAACAGCACAAAACACAAAAATTATTGCATGTACATCCGTGATGTACATACCTATGCTTTGTGAAACGCATTTACTTTACAGCTTTAAAATGAATGCTAACACATTGTAATTAATGCAAATAATGATCTATAAATACCCCTTTTTAGAATAAATATTTGTAAATGCTGTTATAAAATTGTCATTTTATAGAACTAATGCAAAAACTAAAGCCCTACATAGATAAAGTTGGCTGTATAAGACGTGTCTTTTCAGTAGCAACAAAATGAGCTTCAGGACAGTTCAATTTACACAAATAAAGATCTATATATACATTAATAATTGTAGTAATTATTATAAATATGATTATAATATGTTTTTTCATAAAAGTTCAAAATGACCACACAAAGAAACTATGACAGCTATTTTTGTCTTATTTCCCGCTGTTGATTTGGGCTTCTTCCTACAAAATGAGATAAAAAACACAGAAAATGTAATTTCTGTGATTTTCATGGTGGATCTCCCCCTTAACAAGTTGATGTCAGAGTTGTACATGTATATACCATACCTACAGTGTATTGCTCATGGATGTAGTGATACATGTACCTATATGTGTACCACTTCAATTATTTCAATACTTTTTAATAAGCTTTGAAATACAAGTTATAGTGTTATTGTCACCATCAAATTTTTCACACACATGGAAAATATTGGAACAAAAAAATTCAATAGGAAACTGATTATATTCTTTATAAAAAAAAACAAAAATTAATCATACATGGCGTTTTTGTTACTGGGGCTAGGCACTGTCAGATGATATTTACATGCATGCTACCTGATGAAGATTCCTTGTGCATTAGGCTCCTGCGTCTTAAAATAATTTTCTCGAAATTAACCGGGACAGACTAAACGAGATGAGAAAATTCCGGGAAAAAAATAACAGGACAGAGAGTAAAATTTGTCCTGGAATAAACGGATGAACCAAGACAAGACTTCTGTCCCGGACTTTAAAACTTGTGTCCCGGTAAATTATGAACCAGGACGAGACAGACAGATTTGAAACAAGACATAACAAGACGAGACAAGATTTTTCTTAATTATTAAAGACAAAACAAGTTTTTTGATTACGATACGAATTGTTTCAAAAACATGGGTTGAAGAATGACAAGTTAGCCCTTTATTGCTACTAATAGGGCCATAGACAGTTACCAGTTAAATTGAGTTAATTGCAGATTTAGCATAATTTGTCTGACTAACTGACATGGCAGTTAATTAATGGTCCGACAAACACCGCAAACCTGTCGATGTATACATGGCTGAGTATCGAGTCAAAAATGTTACTCTTATGTCTTAACTAAGGCTTTGATGGCACTTATGGGAACCGTACGAATATGAGTGGAGTTTATTACGCGTTCGGAATGAGTTCAGGCGCCCTGGAGCGCATTATAGGGAGTAGGGACGCGTGTCTAGATTAGTCGGCCAATTAGTAGACAGTGGAGTGGAGTCCTGGTAAGATATTCATAATAATACTAAAGCTAGTATTAGATTATCTCTGCCTTTTGTAAAATTTTGTGCTATGCCTCCAGGAAATCTCCACAATTGTGCAGTTTCCTGAATTGTTATCAAACACTTGGGCAGAGCTGGGCAGCGCTACTTTGAAATGTAGCGCCGCTACCGCTACCGCTACATGCTCTAAATGTAGCGGGCGCTACCGCTACCGCTACCGCTACATCCACTAGATTGTAACGGGCGCTACCGCTACCGCTACAGTAAAATGTAGCGCGCTACATTAGCCGCTACAATGGACAAAATTATTAGAAATCTCTTAATATTTATTGTTCTGCTATTGGGATTTACTCATTAACATTTAATGAAAATAAAACATTTTTAAAACATATCAATGCAACATTATTGCAATTAACATAACCGAACTAGATACAGTAAATAAAAGTTACAGTTATTTTTATGTTTTACCTTCCCTACATGGATGTGAACTTTAATCTACCAATCTAAAAAATTATCCACATTCAATCAGTCTTTTTTTGTATACCTATGTGGATTATTTTTGAGATTGGTAGATTAAAGTAGACATCCGTGTAGGGAAGGTGAAATATAAAAATAACTGTGTAAAAATAACTGTAAGAAAACTGGAAGATGAAAAAAACCTGTAAGTGGTAACTGGTAACAACTTAACAGGTAACAACTAAAATGTTGACACTAGTAACAGGCTGAGGTTGACAACATTACACCGAAATCTTTCGTACAGTTTTATTCTGTAATTTATATTATGTATGCATCATGCTGGATTTTGGATAATATTTAATACTATTAAGGGGACCGGCTACCTTAAAAATCGGAAATTTTGGCTTTACCGTTTTCTTGACTCATTTTGTAGCTGCTGCATGAATAAGGCACGTCTAACGCAGTTTACCGCATGTCTGTGCGTGCTATAATTTTTGCGTAAGACAGTTTTAAAAATATATATATGAACATTTTTTAACAATATGTACAAAGATTTATTTGAATTAAATTTGTATATATAGATCATTACTCTCGTTTATTACAAAGTGTTTGCACTCGTTTGAAAGCTACAAACGAGACGCGTTCAACAAAGCTACTACCATAGATGTACATGCAATACTTTTTTGCGTAATGCAGTCTTGAACTTTTATAAAATGATCATTTGATATCATTATTTACAAATAAATGGTATTTATATGTCATTATTTAGGTTAATTGCAAAGTGTTTGCACTCGTTTGAAAGCTACAAACGAGACGCGTTCAACAAAGCTACAACCATAGATGTACATGCAATACTTTTTTGCGTAATACAGTCTTGAACTTTTATAAAATGATCATTTGATATCATTATTTACAAATAAATGGTATTTATATGTCATTATTTAGGTTAATTGCAAAGTATTTGCACTCGTTTGAAAGCTACAATCAAGACGCGTTTAACAAAGCTACTACCATGGATGTACATGCAATAGTTTTTGCGTAATGCAGTTGTAAAGTCATGTAGAATGAATATTTTATATATATATATATTATATATAAAAAGTCCCATTATAGCCTATTATTCACGTTAAATTGAACATAAATAGGTCTAAAGACGTACCAGAATAGGTCTGGTACCCTGAATGCAAATAATTGGCAATGGGAAAGCTTGGGCTACAATATCAAGATTTTTTGGGCATATTCTTCTGTTTTCAATGAATTTTGCTTTATTTGGCTCCCCTGAGCAATTTAAAAATCCAAAAAACGCCATCTTAAAAAAATTATAACTCCAACAGTTTTCAAGCTACGGCAATGAGAGACATAACATTCGATTTGTAAAAACAATACGTAGCGACTGTAGAAGCCTTTTTTTAATATGTGCATGGTTTGTCTTATATATGGGAGGGGGAGGGGGGTGGGGGGTAAAAATGTGAAAAAATGGGAAGAACGCGAATAAAAAAAACGATGAGGAAAATAAAAAATCGGGGCTCCACAATCGCTAGATATTTTTGTTACAAATCGAATGATATGTGTCTCGACATTGTAGCATGTGATTTGCAAAAGTTATAAATTTTTTTTAGAGTAGGTAGCCCTTATTTGCCGTTTTCTATTAATTCCACGTTTTCTTTTATTTTTTTTAAATTTACATGAACAAAAAGGTCTTAGATTTCTGTTTTACATATGTGTACCAAGTTTCAAAACGATCCGTCTGTAAACAAAAAAGTTTTTTTGGAGGGTAGCCGGTCCCCTTAAGTAAAATCTAATGGCTTTAT